ACACCCAGTCTTCCATGTCTCTCTGCTCAAGAAGAAGATCGGCGCTGCCATCTCTTCTACTCCAATCCTGCCACCTATTGACTCTACAGGTCACTTGCATTGGCAACCTGAGAAGGTTATGGACAGAGGGATGTTCAAGAAGAAGAACGTTGCAGTCACCAAATGGCTCATACGTTGCAGATGATATGTTTTCATACATGCATTTACACTAAAACATGATTCTCAATAATAAATTGATAAGACTTTTAATTTGGATAGTATTTACATTACCTGCATCTAGAAAGTAGAAACCTTTTTTAATTGGTTCATAAATTCATATATATGATGGGATGATCTATATAAATGCATGTATTACTTCCCCTGCTTTCCTTACATTTACAAGAAAGAAACTCATATTAAAACACATCCCAAGGACCCCAAATCAAGTTCAGATCAACAGGAAAAAAGAGAGGAGAAAAAAATCACGTCAAAAATACGTAATTCTTTTAGTTCTTCCACAAATCTACCTTTTGATACAAAACCTCATCGTAGTTATCACTCGACAATATTTATATACGAAAACGATATTATTTTATGCAAAGTCTGAGTGTGATGTGGAGTGTGGGGAGGTAATCAGATCAGATCAGATGATGAATGAAACCCACCGACCCCTCTATTATTATTCTGTTTTCGAAGAAAAATCAAAGAGCCAAAAAATAAAAGCCTCAGAAAATGCGTAATGGGAAATGCAGGCCGAAGGCTCCTTTCAGTGCAATGACGTGTTGTTGAAAGGCATACATGTGAGGCAGGGAGGCAGCTCGATCCATCCACACTCACACGGCTTTTAAATTTTGAATTTTTGGCGATACGCACTATGATTTGTACATATGTGCGGACAGTTTCTTTGTACTGCTAACTATGCTTCTTCACGTTATTCAAACAACAAGGAAAGAGAGAAAGGAGAAGATTTCAGAGATTGCATGCCTGCCAGCCGATTGCTTGCTGCCAAATTATTTTTTACTTTTGATCCAAGCAACAACAAAGCAAGCCACTTTTCTATGTGCTTTGGGTCTGCTCACCACCTCATCTTGTTTAATAATATACATACTTTCTAGATTAGGAGGAGAATATTGTCATTAAGTTAAGTACTAAATGGTCATTATAAAAGGTTTACTCTTTATTTGTATGTCTCTTTTAATTCAATTAAAAAACTGCTTTAGCTTTGTAATTATTTTGGAGTCATACAATCCTCAAATAAAAAACAATGGCCAGACATAGGAATAGGATAGGAGCTTGACCTCGACCAATCCAATGGACCAATCCTGAAAGAAAGCATCCTAATCAGTAATATTATTATCACTTATCTTCAAAATAATGTATCTTATTGTCACTTAGTACTTGGTATAGTGATATTTCTCTTTACTCATAAGAGAAATGTCTTAAATTCGAATTTCATAAATGATCGAGTTTGTAATATATGTATTCTCCACACGTTTAATGTAAATGAATATTCTAAATAAATATCGTTACACAGTAACCTCATTGTGAATACAATTAGGCATGTGTTTATGTTTTCAGTATTCCTTTTAATTATGCAATTCATGTTTTTCTAAGTCCCTTCTCTAGCAGCCGGTTGACTGGCTGTGGTTACATTGACATATAACTATATTTTTGGAGGAAGTTTATTTTCTTTTTGGAAAATGCTAGTCAAATCATTTTTAAAACCATAATTTTTAAACAACTTTTAATGGTTGATGATTGAATTTTATTTTTTAATAATTTAATAAAGAAGAAATTCAATCATCAACCACATAATCATATGGTCTAAAACGATTGTTTTTTTCTTTTGTGTTTCTTTTTCAAATAAAAATACCACTATTTTTTTTATATAATATCATTAATTTCTATAATTGATAAGTATCAACATATTATCAAGAGTGACGTGATCTATATATATTTTTTTTCATTTTAAAGTACTGAAAACAATCTTTACCGAAACAAGAAAATGGAAGAAGTCCATTGTTCTAGAATTTTGTTTCCTCTGAAAGAGCAGACGATGTTTTTACCTCATTAACTATTTTTTTTTTCATAATTTCAAAAATACTCGTCTCTTGATTATGATGTATACCAAGTATTTGATTTATTCTTTAAAAAGTGTATGTTCAAATGTTCAATGCAAAGAAATTCAAGTTCAACTATTTGTATCATAATTGTAATGGGACAACTGACTTGGTTTTATTTTCGTGTTTGATTATATGATTTGGTTCGGATTTGGTTATATGGCCAATATATAATTGGTATCCATATAATTAAGAAATTGCATTGGCCTAGTCTTTATAAACTTGCAAAGGTGTCATCAGATGGCAACCAAAAACCAAAACTTCAACACCACTCAACCTAACGCGCCATCATCAAATTAGCTCGAGCAGATGTGTTTCTCGAATACACTTCAAGTTTGAATCCACCTCTTCATATAAAATTTCATCTTCTTAGTTCTTTGTGCAAATTATTTCTGAAAATATTCGGGTCTCACGAAGGTTCTATTTTTATTTTTTTAATTAATATATTTTGGTGTGGTTGGTCCGTTATGTCTCTACTCTCTAATCCGTGAATGATGGGGTTTGATGCTGATGATGGCTCCTCGTCTATCCGCTCACCCGCCAAAATTACCCCCCAACAACAAAACGGGTGCGTGGGGCCCGCTCTCCGGTGGGACCCATCCGATTCAGTCAGCCATGAGCTAGCTAGCTTCCTCAACCCACCCACCCCCCCAATTTCCCGCTTTTAATAATTTCAATTAATTTCTGACCGATGGCCCCCTTCCCTCCCTCCCCGCTCTCGTACTAATTCTACCCATACCACACGACATGTCGTCCGTACCCCCAGCATAATAATCCTATAATTTTTTTTTTTAATGCTTATCATCTTATTTATTACAGGTAAATGATTTTGAATATGATATTTATGTAGTAGATAATCACAAAATTCAAGCTTAAACTCATTTAGTGGCAATACGTAGAGTGGAGAGTATTATAACGGTTTGTGAGTGTTGAACATTATCATCACTTGAGAGCGGTGAACAAAAATGCACCCTAACGATTCAACTCATTTAATAATTTTGTTGGACGTCCAGATGGAAATGGTGTGTTGTTTTAACCAAATGCCGTTGTTTTTGCTACCAACTAAGCCTTGCACCTTCGTAAATGGTTTTGTCTTTGTTACCAACCAAGCCTTGCACCTTCGTCTCGAAAACGACCTTTTTGGTCCGTTACCATCGAACCCATCGTTACTTCCTATACAATTTGGTAGGTTTTTTAATTATATTTATGACTTGGAATAAACAGCCAACCAGCAAAAGTTGGTAAATAAAAACACATAAAAAGACAACTCTACCCTTATGTTCATAACTTAACTTTAATAACAAGGTTTAATAATTGTGGATATTCATGTCAAATAATCAAATTAATAATTGTGAATAATCATTAAAACAATAAAAAAAAAAGACAAAACTACCGTAAAAGATAACTTTCTTGCTTCCCCTCATTAAAGAGAAATTTTTCGTTGTGCCGAGAACGCACACTAAAAAATCTCTCCTCATCAAAGGACTTCTTCTCTTCACGTCAACTATGGCACCTCCCCTCGGTAGCATGTTGTTTGTCATCAATTATTTGTGTTTTTAATTTTAATTTGTGTTTGTTTGCATGAATAGATGCATCTCTATGACTTTTCTCAAGAAAAGTAAAAAAAAATAAAAATTATAATATGGTTCCGGTTGTTGCACACGTGTCAATTGCTAGTGGTAATTAAGTTTAAGTAAATAAGGAACTACAAATAAATAAGGTAGTAATTCGTGATGGAAAAAAAAACAAACAAGGGGGGCGGTAAAGTGAGTTAGTGCGGGGAACTGCACAGCTGAACAACTTTTTTCTAACGTTCACATTTGGATTTAAGAGATATATGAACTTCTTCGAGAACTTTCTCAATATAAAAAATAAAAAACTTCTTCAAGATAAAACACAAAAATAAAAATAAATATTAGATTTTCTCATTTTATTTTTAATTCTTATCCATAACCATATATGAAAGAGATTAACTTTCTCTATACATGTTTATTACTCTGAAATGAGATAAAAGTCATAAACACTAGCATATGGGCACACACAAAGTGTGTGAAATTTTTTTTTTTTTGAAATAGAAGGAGAGATGAAGAAAGTGATAGAGAATGTGGGACTGATTGAGAAGTTTTTTATTTTTTTATTTTTTTATAAATTAGATATATGTTATGATTACATGTAATTGAGGCTTTGAAAAAAAACAGCAAAATTTAGTTGTGTGAAATAAAATTTTTGCCCCATATTTCTTATTCATATTCTGTTTTAAATAAAGAGTTAAACTGGTAATTTCATAAGGTTTTGGTTGACAATGAATGTTTTATTAATTAGTAGATATATGAGATAACAAATTGATGAGATCAACTATTCTCGCTAATCAATTTAATTTATGATTTTTAGATAGTAGAATATAAGTCATTAATTGAAATAAATATAAATTTTTAGGTGGTAGAATATAAATTGTGCACGATGCCACGATATGTTGAACTTTTTGATACTGACAGAATCACATAGATAAGAGAGACAATTACAACTGAAGCATAAGAGCTTGTTTGAGAGTGTTTTTAAAAGACTAAAATTACTTTTGGTGAAATATTTTTTAAAGCAATTCCCAGTAAAAATTCAAGAAATCATGGAAAAACACTTTAAATGATTCATGCAAGAAATCTCATATTTAGTGCTTTTTCCAAGAAGCACTTAAAAATGATTTTAAAATCCAAAACTAATATCACCAACAACAGTACATTCAGTTATTTAAAAGCACTTTTCTAATGGCAAGTGTGTATGAATAGCAATATGGTATTAACGTATGGGTGTTTTATTTTTGAAATTTTCATGTATAAAAATAATAATTTTTATTCATGTAAATTTGAAAGTAAATGAAAACTGCAAAAATAAAAGGAGAGAGACTGAGAGAGAACGGCAAACCACAAGCACAGAGATATGTATGCATGTGTGTAATGCGTGTGATTTGGATTGAATAAATTTTGGGTTTCGGGCACTCTCTCCCACTCTCATCCATCCTCCTTCCATTTCTTCATAATATTTTGATCCTCCATCTTCTTCCAAACCACAATAACTCCACTCTTTAATTTATCCGGTTTCGATCTTTCAGATCTTCCTCTCCTTTTTACTCTTCCAAATTTCACTTCTTGATCCTTTTTCTTTCTGGGTTTTGCGTTTCACTCCTTCTGGGCAGCTTCAGCGTCATCTCCCATAAGATTCCAAACGATCGGTTATCGAAAAAGCAGTGCATTCTTGAGGTATTCATCTTCTTTTTCCTTTTTCCTGTTAAATTCTGGAACTTTTGTGATGGTTTTTTTTTTTTTTAATAATTTTTTTTTGGGTGGTTTTCGGTCAGATTGGAGTTGGCATGTGACTGCAGGATCTGGGCAAGCACCGATTTTGTTTGAGACTGAATCAAAGAGGATTTGGATATTGAGGTAACTTGTTCTATCTGTGATGCTGTTGCACTTTCTTTTGTTGGGTTATTGATTTTTTTGTGGATGTTAGGTAATGTTTTGTTGGAAAGGAATAATCTTTTCAGTAGGAGATTAGATTGGCATTGAATTCTTTTTGTAAACGATCTAAAAGATTGCATTTTTTTCCTTGTTTAGATTGGTATCTTATTGACTTTCCATATTTTCAGGATTTTCGTAACCTCTTAACTTAGATAGGAGTTTTCCAATTTTTTTTCTCTGTTGAATATTATAGCACCCTCTGGTATATCAAATCTCATCTCTTTTGTAGCACATTCAGTTTATTGATTTATCTACCGAGCTTTGTTTTGTGTCTTTCGTTTCTGGAATCATCGATATGCTCTGAGTTTATCGCATGTGTGTATGTTGTCTATCTATGATTGCATTTGTGCTGGTAGATGTTATCGATTTATAGGAAGTGCGATTACTTTTATTGGCTGCTTTTGTTTTTTCCCTTCGGGTCAGGTCTTGAGTAATGTTAAGTTTTCCTTGTTTCCAACGCTACTGACAGGAGATGACAAGATTGACTTCATTTTTTCCTGCAGTATATCAATCATGGTTTGAAGTTACAGAGTTTAGATTTACAGCTGCATTAAAATATTGAGACTTTTGCATTGTGATGCATTCAGCATTTTGTTTTTATCTTCAATGTTTTTGGGTTTGTAGATGCAACTGATGTAGAGACTTATGTTGCGAATGCTTCTGCATATATTATATAACGTGCATTGACATGCATTCTCTCAAGTTTTTATGTAGTAAACAAAGTGAAGAGCCCTAGCTCCTTTCTATTTTAGCTGTAGATTGAACTCGATACCTAGTTTAACACCATCAAACTCATTATAGCTTGAGCCAATTCAGGGTCAACAGGACGGCGTATTAAGATAGACTTAATATCTTTAGATGTGAGCTGAATGAGGGTTGTCGCTTTCTTTTTTTACTTGCATCTACGGTCTATGTTAATTCAAAATCAATTTTCATTTAAAGCCAGCAGTTTGTATAACGGATACCCTCATCCCTAGAGTTAATCCTGTCTCCAGTGTTCCCGCATTTGGAGTTTTACTTGAAGTTGTAGACCCACCGGAGAAGCGATGTATTCAATTTAATGAAGTAAAATTTAAATGTGGGTTTCCAACTTTGTTTAACTATTTCCTTGCTTCGTGTTTTCAAGCATATGCTGTAATATTGTTTTCACCTCTTATACCATTCTGTAACCCATCTATAGTAAGGTTGAGCATTACATGCCTTTTAGATGATTATTTCGTGAACTCGTGGAAACAATTTGTTGGTTGGATTATTTTTTATGTACACTGTCTGTTGCTGGAGATCCTTCAAAAGCACTTGGTCTTGGCCATTGCCCCACTTGTTCTAATTCAAGATTTAAATTTCCCCTTTTCCAGGTTGATTCTTGCTGTTTAAGTTACCAATCATCACCTAAAGAAAATATTTGAGGTAGTTACTTTGTCTTAATACAATGTTGGGAGGCAACAATAGTAACCCCATGCTTCCTGTTTTCGTGGATGAAAATCGATTCCCATATCCGACAAATGCTTCAAGTCAACTTCAGCTGTTTGGAAATGGTAAGTTGTTGTGTCTACATTCTTTGTTCCGGTTAGAACTTCATAATTAATTTAGATTAATTGATTTTAATCATCTCTACATGTTCATATGTAGTTCTTACCTTGCAATTCAATCTTTATTCAGCATCAACTTTTTCCTTTCTGGAATTGTCTCTAAGATGAAATTTCAACTGATGTTGCAGTACAAGCTGGATGTAACGTTGATCCTGTAAATTATTTTGGCACTGAGCATATCACTCCCATGCTTCGGCCCAATAAACGAAATAGGGAAATGGAAGATATCTCAAGACAGAAGAAGCTTCAGATTTCTTTGAACTATAATGTCTGTCCAGATGAAGCTGATCGTTCAGCTAGCATTCCAAACCCAAACGCTGTATCAACGGGGTTAAGGCTATCGTATGATGACGATGAGCGCAACTCATCAGTTACTTCTGCGAGTGGAAGTATGACAGCAGCACCTTCAATGATCCTATCCCTAGGTGACAATATCAGGACTGAGCTGGATCGACAGAAGGAAGAGTTTGATCAATACATCAAAATTCAGGTACTTGTGATCTTCAAGCACAAATATCCATATTTCTTGTTATTTACGGTATAAAAAATCATCCATTCTCGCTATAACTTTGATCAATGATTCATACTCAGAAGTATAGATCCTGTTCGAATGTTGAACAATCTAGTCCAACGGCTTAAAATTTTTGAACAAGTCATTGTGCATTTCTCTTTTTCTGTGTGTGTGAGCATCGTACTATATTTAGTTGCTAATGTAAATCTAATGTTGGATGCTCATCAAGCAGGAGGAACACTTGGCAAAGGGGGTAAGGGACATGAAGCAGAGACATATGGCTTCTTTCCTTGCCGCCATAGACAAAGGCGTCAGCAAAAAGATGCGTGAGAAAGACTTGGAAATTGAGAACATGAACAGTAAGAATCAAGAATTGGTTGATAGAATAAAACAGGTGGCTGTAGAAGCGCAAAATTGGCACTACAGAGCAAAGTACAATGAGTCGGTTGTTAACGCCCTGAAGAGCAACCTCCAGCAAGCAATTTCGCAGGGTGCCGACCAAGGGAAGGAAGGATTTGGAGACAGCGAAGTTGACGATGCTGCCTCCTACATCGATCCAAATAACTACCTGACTATCCCAGTTGGACCAGCGAAATCTGTGCCGAAGAATTACCTGGGGTTGAAGGAGCAAACTGGTTCGAGAGCGTGTAGAGCATGCAAAGCGAAGGAGGTGTCGATGTTGTTGATGCCTTGTAGGCACCTGTGTTTATGTAAGGACTGTGATGGGTTTGTCAATGTTTGCCCTGTATGTGAGTCAATGAAAACTGCTAGCTTCCAAGTGTACTTGTCCTAAATTATGCAGCAACTTAAAAGAAGGGAAGAAATTAAGAAAAAAATTATGTGATGCACTGTTGATAATGTGTGATTTTGTTCTCTGAAATCAAAATTTGTATGTAGAGGTTCTAGTTGTCTTTGTAAAATGAGTTGTAGCCTTTTGTTTTACGTTTTTTTTAGAGTAAATAAAAGCGCTTTTGCTATCCGATGTGTTCTACATTATAGTTGACAGAAAAAGTTAAAAATGCAGTCGAATTATAGAAGCGTTTTTTAGAAAAGCAGTCTCTAAAATGTGATTGTGCGCATAAGTGATTTATACAAAAACAAAGTGGCATATGCAATGCATAATTTATAGGGTAGTGGTGAGAATCTATTTCATCCGATTCTCTGTCGCCTGTCGGCATACCACCAATGGTGTTTTTGCTTTAATAATTGGGTGGAGCACTTGAGCACTCAGGGTTAGCATGGCAGATTGAGAAAGGCACCACCGCCACCACCGTCGCCGCCACCACCGCCACCATCGTGGCGGCAGCACAAGAACGGAACCATATTTCTGCATGTCATGTGGAAAAAAAAATATCAATGAGCTGCACATGATCATTCTTCCTCCACCCAAGGCAGGCAGCCATGCCATCCACACTAATTGACACCTATCAATAAATATTTTATGAACTGGATCTGGTTTGATGGATCTAATTTTATTATAAAACTAAATTTTGAAGTATGGAGAATGTTTAAGAGAAGGGTTTGAACTCAGGACGCAGTGGATTGAAGAGAAGACTCTAATCACCAGGACAATCTATCATATTGTATCTTAGGACATTTATATTGTATTCATTAGTATAATATTAATTAGAACATACCTGTCCTAATGTGGTCATATTTTCATACATTTTCTTTATTTTTTTTACATTTGAACGAGTTATATGCACTAAATTTTACTTTAGGCGTCCAAGTCTTCTTTTTATTCTTTCTTTTCTTCATGTAGTCCCGATATCGAATGCCTAAAGATCAAAGCAATATAATTTAGTACATATAACTCATTCAAATGCACCAAATTAAAAAAAAAATGATAAAATTGTATGAAAATATAACCACATCAACGGTAAGTAAACGATTGTCATATGATTTCCGGTTTTCTTCTGAATTTTAGCTGATATCTTAAGCACTGGGCTTCCCAGCCATCCTCTTGTGGTCCAAAGCCTAAGGGCCTATTAGCATTTGGTGCACAAAGATTCAAGGCCAGAAGAACAGCCCAAATACATTCAACAGAGGTACAACTGGAAGATGCCTTCTCTTCTTATTTGGCTTCTGGACCCAGTCACATTGAGCTTTAAGGTCTAAAATAAATAACGTGAGCTGAGTTCAGACAGTCGTGAGACGCGGCAGTTTTACCTAATCGGTGAGTGTCGCAATAGCTATTGCTAGAGTGAACAAACTTCACTTAGTGAACGAATATTTGAACTTAAGCGGAGCCTGCGGATACTTTTTTGAACTCGGGACTCCGAATGCAAGAAAAATTGCTCTATAAGCAACAAGCGGATACTTTTAATTAGTCTAAAATTCCGAATAGTTGGCAAAAAACTTCTCTTTTCAAGAATTTCAACAAAAGCCTGCAAATATTGGAGTCCTAATTAACCACATCCGAGTTAATTAATCAAACAAGATACCTATTTATTTACACTTAATAACAGCTGCCAAATGTGACCAACTGAGTCTGCTTGTGACTCCCGCCTCGTGCCTTTTCTTTTTTATAACAAAAGCAAAATATTTGGCCGCAAAATCAAAAAAGAAGGAATGTATAGAATCTAACATAAAAGGATCAGAAATGTCAACAGAGTATAGAATTGACTTAAATGATAGTGAATGGAGATCCTCTTCAGATCTCGAAGTCTAAAGCCAGGGGACGTAGAGATCCAAGCTCGTTCAAGTGAGAAGGAGAGATTCAAACCTTTGGTTTGTGTGAGGTGAATCAATGATATGGGCTAATTGATGCTGTAAAATTTAAAACGAGTGATCCAGATCTGTACGTCATTCGGCTTCGAACACAGAGATTCGAAGAAGATCTCAATTCAATGAAAGCAAGGTATCTAACGTCAAACAATCCCAAAGTAAATTTTGCACTAGATGTTCATCTAACCCTTCAAATTTATTGTTGATAAGTTTCCCTTGATTAAGACAAATTAAAGAACAATTAAGAAGAATGCACCAAGTCAATTATTCAGCAGCGTCCACCGTCCATCCATGAATATGATAAAATAATGGGATTCATTATTCAAATGTGCACACCAACATGATGAACGACTTTATAAAAATTAGCCTCTTGCCACACACGTGGCAATTGTTTATTTATTTATTTATTTTTACGAACCACTCATAGCCTCATTATGTGTTTTTTTTTTGTGTGAATTTTGTTTTTTTTTTTTTGGGAAATTCCCAATCAGATAACGACAATTTACGAATTATAAAAACTTCACTATTTTCGTCTTCTCTCTTTTATATATATATATGATAAACCTCTCACGTTGCACACAAAACATATCACCACTAATCTTGATATATATCAAATAACTTGACCATTTTTATTATCTGATCCACTATTGAATATAAACTCATGGATCCATGACTCTTTTCCAAAGCAAAATTTACGGTTTAAATTTTGTGTTTGAGCTACAATGAGCGGCTCAAGCTATGAAAATACAATGTGCGAGTAGACAAATTCGTATTAACATAATAATTATTAGGGAGCTTTAATAAAAATGGTTTGGGTCAACAAATATTTAACCAAAAACCATCACAAAATGTTATTTAACCAAAAAGGCTCAAAGTTTAATAAAAAATCATCTAAAACTATTGTCCACAGGTCAAACTTACAAGCCTAACCCGCTACAAATCTACACTTCCGTAAATACGCCTAAATGATTTGATATTGTCTTTGTCACATCCTGGCCCGGGGCGGACCACTTCCCGGGCCCCGCTCCACCACTGTAGCACGATATTGTCGGTTTTGGGCCCCGATCACGCCCTCACGGTTTTGTTTCTCGGAACTCACGAGCAACTTCCCAGTGGATCACCCATCATGGGAGTGTTCTGGCCACCTTCTCGCTTAACTTCGGAGTTCCGACGGAACCCGAAACCAATGAGTTCCCAAAAGACATCGTGCTAGGTAGGGATGAGAATATACATTTATGGATCACTCCCCTGGACGATGTGGGATGTTACAATCCACCCCCTTTAGGGGCCCAACGATCTCATCGGCACACCACAGCCAGGGTTAGGCTCTGATACCATTTGTCACATCCCGGCCCAGGGCGGACCACTTCCCAGGTCCGCTCCACCACCGTAACACGATATTGTTCGCTTTGAGCCCCGATCACGCCCTCACGGTTTTGTTTCTGGAAACTCACGAGCAACTTCCTAGTGGGTCACTCATCATGGGAGTGCTTTGGCCACCTTCTCACTTAACTTCGGAGTTCCGACGAAACCCGAAACCAGTGAGCTCCCAAAAGACCTCGTGCTAGGTAAGGATATAAATATACATTTAAGGATCACTCCCCTGGCCGATATGGGATGTTACAGTCTTAACTTTTCACCAACCTCAACCCAGCACGAAACCGCCATAATAACTCTTTATCTTCTTATCAAATCGAATTCCCTCATTTCAAAAACAACCAAATTAAAGTTCAAATCAAAGTTGAAAAATGAAGCATTCATCAGAACAAACCCGCCGAAACAAGTTCAAAGAAGTTTAATGGCAGAAACCGACGAAGAAATGTCTGGAAAAAAAAAAGGAACCAAAACATAAAATTGTTTCTGGAAAAAAAAACATATACAATGTTTATTTTGTCTGTGCATAAACAAACACTGTAACTGGAAAGAAAAAAACGAAAATCCATAAACAGTGACTTAGATTCCAGAAACAATGATTTAGATTCCAGAAACAGTGACTTAGATTCCATAAATAGTCTATGTTTTAACCTTTGACTGTTTCTTTTCTTTCATGCATCAGTTGATTATATTTAAGAAACAAGGTGCTTATTTTGCTTTGAATCCAAATACAGTGAATTTCACTATTTCTTTTCTAACTTACATTTAAGAAACAGTGCGTCTATTTCATTTGGATCGAGAAACAGTGACTTAGATTCCAGAAATAGTAACTTAGATTCCATAAACAATGTTACTTAAAATCCAGAAACAGTTTATTTTTACAGTCCAAAAACAGTGATCCGTCGTTATTATTGAATAGCATGCAAATCTCAAATTTATTTTATGGAGAAACGAACGATGAACTCCACTGACAAAGAAAAATTGAAAAACAATACATCAAATACACTATGAATAATAACGACGATCACATTTCAACGAAATCGTACAAAATATAAATTAAATAGCATGAGGATCTATATTTTTGTTTCAAAGAAAAAGAAGGTCTGCAAAACAACGATAAACTCCATTAACGACGAAAATCTGGAACTCAACCTAAAAAAGTTAAGGATAAAATCAACAAATCATAATTCATTATGGTTGGGCCATTTTTAATTGAATTACTTTAATATGGATCTTGTACTAATCATTAAACAAAACTTATAACATGATTTTTTATTAAAACTAAAATTTTTATAATCATTTTCATTAATTTTCCTTAATAATTAAGGTTAAAATACGGTTATCCTCCCAAACCCCAATCCGCAATATACAGAAATATTTGTCTGTTGTGGCTAATATGCCTAATGGGAAGAATGAACACACTATCGTGACTAATTAAATTAGGGACTTGGATTCTCTGCCCTCCCATTTCGGTGCACTCTCCGTGCCCTCCTGTTTTGTGTGGTCACGGTTAATCCATGCTAACATTTTATATTGTTTTTTATAAAAATAATAAGACAAAAAAAAATAGTAATATAAAATATTAACGTGGTTTAACCGTGACCACACAAACAGGAGGGCACGGGAAAGGCAGAGGGCAGAGAATCCAAGTCCTTAAATTAGCAACTTGTAGCGACACTTACTGAGTCAACTAGGGAGAGCTGCTGTATAGTGTTGACTAAGGCCAAAAGCTTTGATTGGGGTTGGTAACAATTATTAAAAAATTGAACAATAGACATACATACAACACAAATTTTCAGAGATCAAATTTTCGAATCAAATTTAAAGATACTTTTCAGATTTTCTTATTTTCACATAAATTTTGAGGGCCGATTGT